TGTGTGCAGAGGCCAGAAGAGGACATCAGGTGTCTTCTGTCACTCTCTGCCTTATTCCTTTGAAACAGGGTCTCTGAGTAAACCTGGAACTTGTGGGCTTTTTTATTTTTATTTTTCCTGGCCAGAAAGGCTCCCCGCAAGCCCCAGTGACTCCTGACCCCATCATGTCCCCTGGCCCCCAGGACTGGTGTTACAGGTGTGTGTCACTGTGCCCAGCTTTTTATGTGGGGACCCAAACTCAGGTCTTGGTGCTTTCACAGCTTGTTCACACTGAGCCATCTCCCCAACCTCCTTTCCATTCCTCTCCACTGCCAGCCTGTTCCCTTCACTCAGTTGCTATGACCTTTCATGCCTTTCAAGTCAGGATTTTGCAAAAGCCTAGCTGGTTTCTCTACTCTCATTATCCATTTATGAAACTTTCTGCTACAGACATAGTTGTATGTGTACACTATGGACCTCAAACATTTGAAAACACCACCTTCTGGGTGAGCACTCATTATGCCAACTGAGATAAAACGTCCAGCCATAATGTTGTTCCACTTTTGTTTTTTAATATTTATTATTATTATTTTTAATTATTTATTTAATAACCACATACTTAGAAGAAGCATTTCATTACAACTGCTTTGACATATTCAATAACAATTTCCTGAGCTAAGATTCCCACTTTTGTTATTATCTGCCAACCACAGACTCTAGGCTCCTTATTTAAGTTTCTCCACAACTGGCCTCAGTTTACTTCCAGTCTTATTCAAATTTCCATTGTACTCACTGGTCCTTTGTTATATAGATATTATTCTATTGCCATTACTGTATTTTATTTTATTTTTCCTTTGAGTTTTTTGAGACAGGGTCTTCCTATAGCCCCAGCTGGCCTAGAACTCACCATGTAGACCAGGCTGGCCTTGAACTCGCAGAAATCCACCTGCCTCTGCCTCCCAAGTGCTGGGATTAAAGGCATGCACCACCATGCCCGGCCTTTGTTACTGTATTTTGAAGATTTATTTATTATTCATATTTGTTTAAGTGCACTTGTGTGTGGGTGCCTGTGCCTGTGCCTGTGCCTGAGCACATGCAGATGCTGGAAGAGGGCGTTGGATGTCTTCCTCTTTCACTGTCCACCTGTCATGGAGTTAGGGTCTCTCCTTCAACCCTGGGCCACATTTTCTCAGCTAGGTTGGAAGCTAGCCACCCCTAGAGATCTCTAGTCTCTGCCCTCCTCTGAACTTGGGTTACAGGTGTGCTTGGGATACCAGGCTTGTAATGTGGGTCCAAGATCCCAACTCTAGTCCTCGTGATTGAGCAGTAAGCAGTCTCTCCAGTCCCTAGTGCGTGTGTGTGTGCGTGCGTGAGTGCCTCCCTCCCTCCCTCCCATCTTTATTTATATATTTATTATTTTATTTTTTGGTACTAGAGATTGAATCTAAGGGCCTCACACTTTTGAGACAAGTACCCTACTACTGATAGCCCTAGCCCTGCTAATTTATTTTTGTATCTTCTGAGTGTGATAACAGTGCCTGGTTCCTTGCAAGTATTTGAAATGTGTTTTCCTAACAGTGGGGCAAATTCCAGAATAAATCTTAGGTTGTCCTTTGTATCATTTTTCTCGTTGTTCTCCTTCATATATAATTTTCCCTGATTGCTTTTGCTCTTTCTCTTTCTCCTTTCTGTCCTTAGAGCTCATTTGGTACCCAAGGATTGTCTTGCAGTTGTGACCTTTTTCTGGAGGTCAGAGTGGCATAGTTAAGAGAAAGTGGTGCTCGTTCCTTAACAGGAACATCTGTGTTGGTAGACGTGAGACTTGGCATGCTTGATACAGGGAACCAGCTCACTATGGAATAAAGGTTAGATACCTAAAAGTTAACAGAGAAGGGGCTGGAGAGATGGCTTCTTGCAGAAGACCCAGGTTCGATTCCCAGGACCCACATGGCCGCCTTCATCTGACCTCTGTGGGCACTGCACAACATGGGTGTACTTACACACATGCTGGCAATACACTAATACACATAAAATAAAAATAATAAATAAAATATTTTTAAAAGTTAACAGAACTAAAAGCAGCAAATCCTTAATCAATATTGGATAAGGAATTCAAAGGATAGATTTGCATAAAAATTAAAAACATTATTTGCAAAGATTTGAAGTCCTAAATACACAACTTATAAGTCAGTAACAAATATAACCTGGGGCTTCACATTTTCTTGCTAGGCAAGAAAAGCTATTAGAAGATATGAACAAGAGGGTGGGTTGGGGGAAGGGTACCAAAGGAAACCACAGTATAAGAAGCGGCAGCCACTTTCACAGTGAAATGGTCAATCCCACCAACAAAGAAAATAAACTAGTTTTTAAGCAATGGACGCCATCGAATTAAACAAGATTAAAAAGTGCTGGTGAATTTAAAAATAAGCATTTATGCTTTCTGCAGAAATCAAATGTGATGTAACGTAGAAAGCAGTTTAGTAATATGTGAGAGCTATAATTTAAAAAAATTTTTAATGTTTTGACTACAAATTTCATTTCTAAGAATCTTTCCTAAAGCTATTAGGTATGTAGGCAAATGAAATATTGTACATAATAGTCTTCATTTATCATAGCGTTTTTTGGTTTCTTTTTTTTTGGTCTTTTTGAGACAGGGTCTCCCTGTAGTCCCAGCTGTCCTGGAGCTTACTATGTAGACCAGGCTGGCCTTGAACTCACAGAGATCCGCCTGCCTCTGCCTCCCAAATGCTGGGATTAAAGGTGTGTGCCCGGCCTATCATAGTGTTTTTATAACAGGAAAATTTTGTAATCACTTAAATGCTTCAGTGAGGAAGTACTTCCTTCCATGGAAAATGATACCACCATGAAATCATGATTTTGAAGACTTTTAATAAAGAAAACACTGTACTCATGGAACGTTACTTATAACAATATGTAATACTGTGCTTATGCTATTATAGTCTGCAAACATATTACCTGAAATGAAGTAAAATAATATTATTTCTGAGTGTTAGGGTAGTTTTTTCCCCCTCAGTTTTATGATGTTATTTTTGTAATCGTCTTTCTTTCTTTCTTTCTTTCTTTCTTTCTTTCTTTTTAATTTTTTTTCTTTTTGTCTTTTTTGAGACAAGGTCTCCTTATAGCCCCAGCTGTCCTGGAATTCACTATGTAGACCAGGCTGGCCTTGAACTCACAGAGATCCGCCTGTCTCTGCCTCCTAAAGTGCTGGGATTAAAGGTGTGCGCCACCACGCCTGGCCCTATTTAAAATTTTTTGTCTGAGTAGTTCCATGTGTAGTTTCTGAAGGAGGCACAGAAACAAGATGCTTTGGCCCACAGCCTTTACACTTGTTTTCTTCTTGCTAGTCGTTTTTTCAGATGGCCCAAGCTGGCCTCAGATTTTACTGTGTAACCCAGGTTGGTTTGGAACTCAAAATCTTGCCAGAGTGCTGAGATTACAGACATACACCACCACTCTCCACTCTAGACTTCTCTTTTGATTGCAGTTCTACCCCTGTTCTGTGTGTAACTTAACTATATTACCTTTTTCTTTCTTTTCTTTCTGAGCATCATTTTCTTGTTTGTGAAATGGGACTCCTAATATCTACCTTATAATGTTGTCAAGATTAGAAGTGAGGGATCTGTGGGTAAAGGCTCTTGCTGTGTAAGCCTGGCAGTCCGAATTTGATCTCTGGAACCCACATGATGGAAGGAGGCAAGTTGTTCTCTGACCTCCACATGGCACACATGTGCCCACACTTACATGCACATAAAATAAAAATGAGTAAATCTTAGAGCTGGAGAGATGGCTCAACGGTTAAGAGCACTACTGCTCTTGCAGAGGACCTGGGTTCAAATCCCAGCATGATTCCCAGCTTGTTTCTCTTCTGTGTGTTTGGAATGATACCAGTTTTAGGCCATTTCATTTAAGAAATGAGAAAATAGGCAAATCATTGTGGTCTGTTCTGTGGCCAGATGAGGGACCCAGCACATAGTGTGCTCAATGAATAAACGGTTCTTACTGGTTTTGTTGGAACCCCAGTTTGGGGTACCCAACGTCCATAGGAGGCCGCTCCCCAATAACTCAGTCCTCAGACCAGAAGATGCAACAAGCATGAGGATTGCAACAAACAAGAGGATTTATTTGGCGTTTTGCGCAAAACGGACCCCTGCCTCACTCGGAGGGCAGAAGCCCAGAGCCCAGTTCACAGGCTTTTTTTAAAGACAAAGACCACAAACTAGAGAGAAAGCAGCAGTAACATCACAAGCGGCGGCTATGTGCCAAGCAGAGGTAGGGGGGGATTTCTGTGATGATTTTCAGCTTTGGGCAAAGAGCATGAAAAAGGTCAGCTCAGCTTGTTCTTAGCATTCAGAATTATTTTTTTATTTTTACTTTCTTGTACAGTTTTTTGGCCTGAAGGACTTATTTCCTTGTCTTTAGCCTAGGGGGACTGAATTAGGGTCCTTCAGTTTTACCTTAGAAGTTATATAAAAGAACAGTGCCTTCCTGGATTCTTTGCTTAGGGTAAACAGCTTTGGGAAAAAGTGTTTTCCAGAGCGTGGCCCAGTCAGTAGAGCGCTCCATGGCCATTCTTCAGGCCTTGTTTTTGGATCTGGGACTGACCGACGGTGTGCTACAGGACTTGGATCTGGGACTGACTGTGTGCTATGGGACTTGGATCTGGGACTGACTGTGTGCTACAGGAGTTGGGGCAGGTCCTCTGGTTGCCACCTTTGCAAATGCAGCAGCCTCTTTCCTCCACTGTAGGGCGCAAAGGTATTGCCTCCCATCAGCTAACTTTCTGAAGTCAGTTCTCATCCCATAACTCCTAGTACCATGAGTCTTACTGAGGCCTCAGAGTTAATGCTTTGTCACACATTTCTTTGTGGTAATATATGCTATGCTGGACATTTATAACTACTTTTGGGGGGTATTGATATTTTAAAAATATACTGCTAAAGATACTATTTTAACATTTTTTGGTAATTATATTCTTATGATTGCTTCTTATTTTATTTTAGCTACTGATCTGCTTCTTGCCTGGAATCCCATTTGTTTGGGATTGGTAGAAGGAGTTATTGGGAAAATTCAGCTTCATTCAGGTATGTTTTTGTTGTTGTTGTTGTTTTGTTTTTTTTATTGTAAAGTCAGTAAATTTTTGTTTAAGGAATTTCACATGTGAGTCCTTTACTGTCCATTAGGGTTGCTGAAGTCCAAGCTTTCTCAAGATAACTCTTCCTCAAAGGTCTAATGCTTAATCCAATTGTCCTGAATTTTTTTTTTTTTTGTCTTTTTGAAGCAGGGTCTCCCTGTAGTCCCAGCTGTCCTGGAACTCACTTTGTAGATCTGACTGGCCTTGAACTCACAGAGATCTGCCTGCCTCTGCCTCCCAAGTGCTGGGATAATGCTGGGATTAAAGGCATGTACTACCATGCCGGATCTTTTGTTTTTGAGTAGTCCAGGATGGCTTGAATTCATGGTGATTCTCTTGTTTTACTCAGCAATCCTAGCACTGGGATTATAGGTATGAGCCACTATACCCAGTTGTTCTTAGTTTAAAAGACTATTGGGCCTTTAGGAGCTAGGTTAACTTTTGTGAATTAGAAAAACATATTGTTAGCTAGGCATGGTGGCACATGCCTTTAATCCCAGCACTGGGGAGGCAGAGGCAGGAAGATCTTTGTGAGTTCAAGGCTGGCCTGGTCTACATAGCGTGAGTTCCAGGCTACTGGGAGACACTGTCTCCTAGAGACAAAAAAAAAAAAACCCCAAAAAACAAACAAAAAAACAAACCATATTGTTGGGAGACAGTCTAAATTTCCCTTGCTAGATTCTTTGATTTTATTTTATCTTTTCCTTGAGAATTATTGCTTTTATTAGATATGCATTCCTAAGCAATCAATGTGTTACTTAGGTTTGTATTTTGGAGATTGTATGTAAATGTCATTAGGTTTCTTTGTATTTTTTCTTGTGTAAGTATATGCTTGTGTTTGTTCAGGGGGGATGGGGTCTGTGCACATGGATGCACTTGGAAGCCACAGGGCAGTGTTGGGTATCTTCCTTGTGTTTTCTGTGTCTCTCACTGAACCTGGAACTCATAGATTTAGCAAGGCTGGATGGCCGATGGATCTAAGTCCCCCACTTAGTGCTGGTGTAACATAATATCACCCTTAGCTTTTATGTGGATGCTGGGGATCTGAACTCAAGTCCTCATCCTTGTGAGGCAGATGTATTACTGAGAGTCATTTCTGTGGCCTGTGCTCTTTCTCTTCTGTTTGTTTATTTATTTATTTATTTATTTATTTATTTATTTAATTCATTCTCATTCACTCACTCACTCATTCATTCATTCATTCATTCATTCATTCATTCTTGGTCTTTTTGAGACAGGGTCTCCCAGTAGCCCCAGTTGGCCTGGAACTCACTATGTAGACCAGGTTGGCCTTGAACTCACAGAGATACACGTGCCGCTGTCTCCCAAGTGTGGGCTCCCACACGTGGCTATTTAAATTTTATTTTTTAAGTTAAGGTCTCATATATAGCAGATTGGCCTCAAACTTGATATGTCACTGAGAACGACCTTGAACTTCTGTTTCTCCTGCCTCCAGCTCCTGAGTGCTGGGATTATAGGTGTGTGTTACCATACCTGGATTTGTCCTTCTTTTTATTTGTTAGTATTTTAAGATTTACCTGTGCTGGTGTATGACACCGAGTTCTTTTTCTTTATTTGACTGTGACATGATTTGTCCATCTTTCTGTCATTGGATAATTCAGTTGCCCCCCACTTTAGAAATAATATTGCTATGAGCATTGTATATTCTGCCTTGGCAGGTTTTTAAAAGATTCCTTCAGTACAGAGAAGAAAAGCATTTAGTCATTGTGTAACATGCTAAGAATTTTAATAACACTCTCCTACCTGTACTCATTTACATATATATTTTTTAAATTCATTTACAAGCTGACAGGATAATTTCACAGCTGGATGTTCTGAGCTGAAATTCATTTTCCATTATTTAAATGACATGTATGAAACTTCTGAATTATTTTTCTTTAATTTTAGTCATATCTTGAAGCTGTGAATAAATCACTGAAATCAGTCAGGAGACCAAGATTCAAGCTTCATTTATTAGCTTTGAGATATTGGAGAATTCCTAACACTTGCTTCACCTATATTGTGTAGTAAGCCACCCTAAAAGCCCAGTGGCTTAAAACAGCAGCTGTATAACACTCACTCCAGGATCCTGTGGGTTGGTGGAGCACTTCCTTTGCTCCTCTCATGTATTCTCTGGGGTCTTCCATGCAATTTGCTACACTTTGATTTCATGTGGCCTCTCTCCTTGGGTCTCATCTTACAGGACCTCTCCTGGGACTCTCTCTCTCCTGGATAGTATTAACATCTTTCTAGGGAGTAGCCAGAAGCAGGAAGAGAAGTCCAAAAGTGCAAGAACCTGTACTTAAAAATTTTTTTTCCCGGGCATGGTGGTGCACGCCTGTAGTCCCAGCACTTGGGAGGCAGAGGCAGGTGGATCTCTGTGAGTTCGAGGCCAGCTGGGGCTACAGGGAAACTCTGTCTCAAAAAGACCCAAAAGTAAGTAAGTAAGTAAAGTAAGTAAGTAAGTAAGTAAGTAAATAAATAAATAAATAATAAATTTTCATTAAATTTTTTATTCATTTATTTTTATTTTATGTGTATGAGTGTATTGTCTGCATGTGTGAAAGTACACCTGCATGTGCATTGCCCACAGAGTCCAGAAGAGGGTGTTGGATCCCCTGAAACTGGAGTTATAGATGGGGGGTTGTTAGCTGCTATGTGGATGCTGAGAACTGAATTTGGGTCCTCTTTAAGAGCAGTCTGTGCTCTTAACCACTGAGCCATCTCTCCAGCCAGAGCCTATACTTCTTAAATTATTTATTTATTTATTTATTTGGTCTTTTTGAGACAGGGTCTCCCTGTAGCCCTAGCTGTCCTGGAACTTACTATGTAGACCAGGCTGGCCTTGAACTCACAGAGATCTGCCTGCTTCTGCCTCCCAAGTGCTGGGACTAAAGGCGTGCACCACCACGCCCGACTTACTTCTTAAATTATATATATAAAAAAAGAGGGGCTGGAGAGATGACTCAGTGGTTAAGAACACTGGTTGTTTTTGCAGAAGACTAGGGTTTGAATCCCAGCACCCATATGGCAGCTAACAACTGTCCATAACTCCAGTCCCAGGGGATCTGACAGCCTCTTCTGACCTCTGAGGGCACTGCATGACATGGGTGCATTTACCTACATGCAGGCAATACACGCATACACATGAAATAAAAATAATAAAATAAAATAAAAGAGTAATTGGCATCATTATTTGTATAGGGTATTCTGAGTCTCAAGTGAGATAATATGCCTGAAAGGTTCTTAATAAATTTTAACTCACTGTTTTATCAAGACACATTTGGTAATATAAATCTATCATGTTAAATTAAAGGAGAAAAATCCATTAAATATCTTTTATAAGAACCCAAGCACTAGATAGAACTGAAAGTGAATGCTGTGCAGGATGTGAGGTCTTAGAATGGTCTCTGACCACCACTACTCTTTACACATCTCCTTCATCCTTTTCTTTTTGGCTTTTTTTTTTTTTTTTTTGAGATGGGGGTCTTATGCAGGCTGCCTCATATTTCCTATGTAGCCAAGGATGATCTTGAGCTTCTGGTCTTCCTGCCCTCACATCTTGAGTGCTGAGATTATAGGTGTATGCTATCATATCAAGTTCAGGTGTTGGGGAAGATCAAACTCAGAGCTTCATGAATACTAGGCAGGTTCTCTACCAACTGAGCTCTAGCCCCAGACCCTATTTGTTCTCCTAAAATGCCACCCTCATCCTTCAAGCTGAATCTGAAGTCCCCTGTAATCAGTGGAGACAGACTAGGACTTAAGTAGAATTGGATGAGGAGGGAGGAAGACTGGAGAGATGGTTCAGCAGTTAACAACACCTGCTGCTCTTGCAGAGGACCTGGGTTTAGTTTCTAGCACTCAAATGGGCAACTTAAACCATCTGTAATCTGGTTTCAGGGGAGCTGACACTCTCTTCTGGCCTCTGGGTACCAGGTAGGCTTGTTGTGCACATACATGCAGGCATACACTCATACACAAAAATAAATAAATCTTAGAAAAAAAAAGTTGGATAGGGAGTCTGACTCATACAACTAGAGAAGAGGCTTATTGACTCTGGTTGGCCAAGGACCTCCCAGGACACCTAATTCAAAATGTATTACAGGGTCATTCCCCTAGGTGGGGGACAGTCAGAGCAGCCTTGGCAGACAGCTCTAAGTTGTCTCCTATCAGCAGTGGCCACATCTAAGTTAATGGCTGCTAAACTTAGCATGCAGTGAAAATATGAACATCTGTGGACAGCCCGGTTTATGTTTTTCCCCTGGGTACTACTTGCCTTTCTTGGCTCCTGGATAGGAGGCTGACAGGTTGTTAGAGAGCCATGATATAGGATGTTTTAGAAGAGGAAGTAGGGAGGAGAGTGAACTAAGGAAAGAAAATATAAAAAAGGAAAAGGGCAGGGAAAGTCTCTTAAATTTTCACTGTACTGGGACTGGAGAGATGTCTCAGCTGTAAGAGCTGCTGCTCTTACAGAGGACTTGGATTCCATTCTCAGCACCCACTCCAGTTCCAGGAGATCCAGTGCCCTCTTCTGGCCTCCACAGGCATTGCACCCATGTAGTACACTTACATACATGTAGGCAGAATGTTCATACACATAAAATAAAAATAAATTTAAAAAGATTTAAAACATTTTTCACTATCCTTATTTTTGAATATATTTTTTGTCCTTGTCAAGGTCACATCATAGGTCTGGCTTTGCAGAAAGGGAACCAAGGAAGAAGCAGACGTAGCCCCTTTGGGGCCTCTGTGCTCTTCTTTTCCCTCTGCAGCCTTTTCTTCTGTCGCTCTACCCCTTGCCTTGGAACATTCATCTTCCTCCTCTTCTCATCCCCTTTATTCTGTGTCCTTGAGGCTGCCTCATCCCTCACCACCTGCCAAGCTAAAGCTCTTGCTCAGAGTCAGAGTGGCCGGAAGGAGCTGTGTTCCTGGTGTATATCAGAGGTG